CCAGAGAACCCCAATCCCAACACTCCCCAGGCCAGCCCCGTCCGCCTTTTCTGCCTCGCCTACTCATCTCCCCCACCCCCAACACTGACAGCCCAGCCCCCCGAGGACATCCTGACAACCCCTTGCCCTGGACCCCATTTCCCCTAGTTCATCAGGCCCAGAGAACCCCCTTCACCCCCAGCTCCCCCCAGACACACATGCTGGGGTCTCCTGAGTGGCTCACCACTCTCCACCCCATAATACTATCCCAGGGGGTCCCTCTTACCTGGGAAACCCCATCCCATAATAGCAACACAACCCTTTTGCCCACCCCGCAAAAAATGGTGCAGCCCTTTCCTGCCACACTACTGAAGGTTGGTACTGCCCAGGGGAGGGGGCTCCCCTCATTTTCAGGGGGGGTCAGTACCACCCGGGGGGCTCCCCTCATTTTCAGGGGGGGTCAGTACCACCCGGGGGGGCTCCCCTCATTTTCAGGGGGGTTGGTACTACCCCAGGGGCTCCCCCTATTTTCAGGGGGGGCTTGTACCACCCCAGGGGGCTCCCCCCATTCTCAGGGGGGTGGTAGGTACCGCCCGGGGGGGCTCCCCCCATTCTCGGGGATGGTACCGCCTGGGGGGGCTCCCCCCATTCTTAGAGGGGGATTGGTTGGTACCGCCCAGGGGGGCTCCCCCTATTTTCAGGAGGGGCTAGTACCACCCCAGGGGGCTCCCCCCATTCTCGGGGAGTTGGTTGGAACCACCCAGGGGGGCTCCCCCCATTTTCAGAGCGGGGGTTGGTTAGTACTGCCTGGGGGCTCCCCCTATTTTCAGGGGGGGCTGGTACCGCCAGGGGGCTCCCCCCCTTCTCAGAGTGGGGTACCTCCCAGGGGGCTCCCCCCATTTTGAGAGGGGGGTGGTTGGTACCGCCCGGGGGGGCTCCCCCCATTCTCGGGGGTGGTACCGCCTGGGGAGGGCTCCCCCCATTCTTAGAGGGGAGGTTGGTTGGTACCACCCGGGGGGCTCCCCCCTATTTTCAGGGGGGGCTGGCCCGGGGAGCTCCCCCCATTCTCAGGGGGGGGTTGGTTGGTACTGCCCAGGGGGACTCCCCCCATTCTCAGAGGAGGGGTGGTTGGTACCGCCCAGGGGGGCTCCCCCCATTCTCCGTGGGGGTTGGTTACTACCGCCCGGGGGGTCCCCCTATTTTCGGGGGGGCTGGTATCGCCCGGGGGGGCTCCCCCCATTCTCGGGTGGGAGGGTTATTTGGTACCTCCCGGGGGGCTCCCCCCATTTTGAGAGGGGGGTGGTTGGTACCGCCCGGGGGGGCTCCCCCCATTTTCTGACGGGGGGGTTGGTATCGCCCCGGGGCCCCCTTACCTGTTTGCCCCACCCGTCGGAGGGGGAGCCGAGTACAGCCCTGCCCCCTATCCAGGGGGTTGGTACAACCCGGTCCCCCCCGCACCACGGGATGGTCCAGCCCGAGCCCCTCTCGGCCCCTCCGAGCCCCTTTTACTCCAACAGACAAAATGGTGAATGAATCTGGACCAGCTGGAGCCGCCGGCCAATCAGCGCTCACAAACCTCTGACTGGCAGCCGCGAGGGCCAACGGGCAGGAGGCATGACCTGCACACGGCCCGCCCCCTAAGAGTGGCAGTAGCAGTGGCCATTTAGAGGCGAGGAGAGGCGAGTACGATCCCAGGCTCATCCTGCCCCTTCCCTTCGAGTGACACTTACAGTAGTCAATGAGCGGCCGCTAGCGGGCAAAGGAGGCCGTGGCAGGAGGTACAGTAGCCAATAGCAGAGAAGGGGCGGGGCGGGGCCAGGCCCAGACTTGTTTACCTGGCGCTGAGCGAGGAGGAAGCGCGAGGCCGCGCCGCGCGTCATGGGAGTTGTAGTCCGCATCCCGGCACGAGTCCCGGCGCCCCCTCCCCGCGGAACCACTACGGCTCCCGGCATGCAGAGCGGCCGCTTCCCGCTCCGCGCGGGACCTGCCGGGAGATGTAGTCCCCGCCGGCGAGCTCCCCACACTACATCTCCCAGCACCCCCCGCGACCGACCCTGCTCCAAGGCAGGCCAGTACCGCACGGTGCATGCTGGGAGATGTAGTCCCCGCCGTGGCCCGCCCCATGGAGGCATCTGGGCGCCCCCCGCGGAAAGACTACAACTCCCATCACCCGCCGCGGCGGCTCCGCCACTCCCCCCCCCGCAGGGCCTGGGAGCGAAACTCCAAGGGGAGAGGGCAGGAGCCCCCTCCGGACGCCCTCCTGGGGAAGGGTTATTTGCATGTCATTTGCATCTCATTAACATAATCATGCGCTCACCCGGCGGTCTCTCCCGGCCCGGTCCCGTCGCGCCTGGTCCGGGCTCCTCGCGCTTCCTCTCAGCAACAGCGGAGCCGCCGCGGCCCGCACCGCGGCCAATCAGCGCCCGGACCGGGAACCCCCCCCCGCCCCCAGCACACACACACACGCCCCACGTGGGGGCCGGAGGCGGGGCTGGCCACAGCCAATCCGCGCCCGGGGCGACCGAGGGATGAAGTCATCGCACTGTGCCCCTATTGGCTAGGAGCGGCAGAGCCCCCGTCCAATCAGGAGCCGCCTCCGGCAGGCCAGGGAAGAAGGCGGAGCGGAGAGTGGGTGACACGCTGGAGGCTGGGAGCCACGGCCGCTGGTATCGCCCCGGCGCGCGCACCGATGCATGCAACGCACCCCACCCCACCCCACCCACACACCGGTGCATGCGCTGCAGCGCCTTTCACACACCCCTGCCTCTGCGGTACAACCGCCCTGCACGCAGCAATGCATACACTGCAACCCCCCCACCACACACACACACACACACACACACACACACACACACCGGGTCCATGTCGTTGCATGCTCTGACATGCCTGCAAGAGGTTGCATGACATGCACTGATGTGTGCAGGGGTGCTTTCTTAATGCGACCCTGCACGTGCACCCGTGCATGCTATGCAACCCACCCGCTGGTCCATGCCTTGCATACAATGGGGTGTACGGGGTTGCATTTTAATACAACCCCTGCACACATTTGCTGCATGCAATGCAAACTCTCCCACACAGGGACTGCTGAATGCTATGCAATACCCCGCTCCCGCACACGCATGGGGGCACACAATGCAACCCTGTACACGCAGTTGCATGGAATGCAACACCACCGCCCTGTACAGACACAGTTGCATGCAATGCAACCCCTTCCTCATACAGACGCCTGAGGATGCAATACAATTCGCCGCCTCACAGACACGGGTGCATGTACTTCAACTTCCTGTGCACAGACACTGGTGCAGGCAATGCAATCCCCCTCCCCTCCCCCTGCACAGACACCAGTGCATGGACTGCAGAGAAACACCCACGCAGACAGGCGCATGCAATGCAGTTCCCCTATCACCACGGACAGACATCCACACATGCAGTGCTGCTCCACCCTCCCCTGCGCCACAGAAATGGTTCATGGACTACAACTCCGTTCATCAGTCTACCTGCATGCACAGGTAGCAGTGACCGTGTATGCCACCATGTCCATCCGCTTGTTCACACACTGCAACCCCCTCTATACAGAAACACTGAGGCATGGAATGCAACCCCCTGCAACATATCCCCTGCCCGGGCCCGGTGCTTGGAATGCAACTGCCCCCACCAGTGTATATACATGCAACACAACTTTGACCACCGGTACATGTAATGCAAGTCTCCCACACACAGACACCAGTGCACAAAATGCAACTCCACGTATGCAGAGAAACCAGCGCATGGAATACAACTCCCTCCGGCCCCAGTACACTGAAACTCCCCATCCACACACAGAGAAACTGTTATATATCCTATGCGCGCACACACACACACACACACACACACTGAATGCAATGCAAACCCCAGCAGTGCATGCAAAGCCGCCCCCTCACAGAGACACTGGTGCACGCACTGCAGCCCCACACAGCGCAGGAAATGGAATCCACCCACAGTGCATGCGAGGCGATGCTCCATACCAGGGGTGGGCAGCCTGGGGGTAATCTGATTGCGGGCCGTGAGGCACCACCGCCCCATACACACACAGAGATACCAAGGAACGTGAGGCCACTCTCCACCCCGAGTGATGGCAATTCCACCGCCACGGGGCATGGCTGGTTGCCCGGCAACTCACTTCCCCATGTGCGCAATGCAGCTTACTCCCCTCACACCCTGCCTCCACACACACGCCCATGCCCCCGTTAGTGGAAGCCATGCAATGCACATTCTGCCCCCGGGGGGGCTGCCACAGGGGTCTGTGCTGGCCCTTTAAGAACCTGTCCCTTCTTCTCTCTTATCAGCCCAGGTGGGGGAGGGGGAGTTGTCATTGGGACTAGTGCATTCCAAGGGGAGGGGTCCCATGCCCCACCCCAAGTAGGGTTGCCAACTTTCCAATGCCACAAAACCAAAAACCCTTGCTCCACCCATGCCCCGCCCCTTCTTTTAGGCCCCACCCCTACCCCGCCCCTTCTCTGAGGCCCTGGCCCCATTCACTCCAGCCCCCCCCCCTTCATCGCTTGCTCTCCCCCACCCTCACTCACTTTCACTGGGCTGGGGCAGGGGCTGGGGTGCGGGAGGGGGTGAGGGCTCTGACTGGGGATGTGGGCTCTGGGGTGGGGCCATAAATGAGAGGTTCAGGGTGTGGGAGGGGGCTCCAGGCTGGGGTTAAGGGGTTTCGGGTGCAGGAGGGGGCTCCAGACTGGAGGGTGGGCAAGGGGGACTCAGGGCTTGGGCAGGAGGATGGGGTGCGGGAAGGGGTGAGGGGTGCGGGCTCTGGGAGGGAGTTAGTGTGCGGGAGGGGGTTCCGACCTGGGGCAGGGAATTCGGGGTGCAAGTGGGGGTGCGGGCTCTGGGAGGGAGTTAGTGTGCGGGAGGGGGTTCCGACCTGGGGCAGGGAATTCGGGGTGCAAGTGGGGGTGCGGGCTCTGGGAGTTAGGGTGCAGGAGGGGGTTCCGACCTGGGGCAGGGAATTCGGGGTGCAAGTGGGGGTGCGGGCTCTGGGAGTTAGGGTGCAGGCTCCAGCCGGGCGGCACTTACCTCAGGCAGTTCCCGGTCGGCAGCGCAGCCGGGCTATGCCAGGCTCCCTACCTGCCCCGGCTCCGCACTGCTCCCAGAAGCGGCCGCCATGTCCGGCTCCTAGACGCAGGGGCGGCCAGGTGGCTCTGCGTGGTGTGTGCTGCCCGTGCCCGCAGGCGCCACCACCACAGCTCCCATTGGCCGCGGTTCCCAGGCAATGGGATTGCAGAGCAGGTGCTGGGGGCAGAGGCAGGACACAGGGCTTCCCTGACCACCCCTGCGCCATGACTTCCGGGAGCCGCCACTGTCCCTTTTCAACCAGGCACCTGGGAACCCTAACCCCAACCTCTCTGGGTTCCCTTTGCCCTCCTCAACTGTATCCCTGCTCCCGCCTCCCCTCTCCTGACCCTCCACTTCCTCCAGCCCCCCCAGCCACCTTCCATCACTGCCCCAGACCTCTCCTCTCTCTGCAGACCAAGGAGACCCAGTGCTGCAAGCTTCCCCACAGCAGTGCCCCCAGCCACGGACCCTGGCACTGTGAATTTCCCTGCAGCAGTGCCCCAGCTGGGGACCCCAATGCTGCGAGCTTCCCCCCAACAGTGCCCCAGGTAGTGACCAAGTTTCTGCTTATGTGAGCTTGGCTGTAAGTGTATGAGCAAATGTACAAGAGGATGCCTGTGTGCATGTCTGCTTGTTCAAATGAGTGTGTGAAAGAATGACTGTGCCTGATTGTGTCAGTGAGTGTGCAACATGACCACACGTGGCATCTGCTTCTGTGAGCAAGTGTGCAAGAGGTCACTGGTGCATGCCCCTGCTGGTGCAAGAGGGCACCGGTGCAGGCGTGTGCAAGAGCACGCTGGTGCACATCCAGGTGCCAGGCAAGCCTTGTGCCCATGCGAGCCCCTGCAGGCATGTGCCTCTCCCCTGTGCGTGAGAAGGCTGGTGCGAGCCCGTGCGAGCACTCTGCCTTGCCCACAGCCTGGCAGCCAGGGCAGGGCAGGGCAGGGCCAGGCCGGGGCTCAGCCAGCTGGCTGCCGGCCAGGGCTGGGGACGGGCCCAGATCTCGCAGCCGCTGTTTTTAGCCCCTGCTAATTCAGAGGCAGGAACAAACTTTTCCTTTTGCCTCCCGAGCGATTTCTGCTGCCGGCGCCCACCCTGCAGCACCGAGCGCGTCCTCCCCACCGCCTGCGCCCCCCACCGCCTGCGCCCCCCACCCTGCAGCACCGGGCGCAGCCTCCCCACCGCCTGCGCCCCCCACCGCCTGCGCCCCCCACCCTGCAGCACCGGGCGCAGCCTCCCCACCG